CAACCACCCAAATATTCCCTCAAAATAACTCAAATTTTGAAGAGAAAAAAAAATTAAGAAAAATAAATAAGAATAAAATGTAAATGACTAAATGAATAAAATAATAATAATACACTTTAAATTCCTTCTTTTATTAGTTGAAAGTTATGGATCATTACCAGTTGGAGGTGAACAAGGTAAACCTTTAATGTAATTTAAGAAGGGATCCCAAGTCTTGTAAAAGGATTTAAGTGAACCAGAGAGTGAACATCTCAATTTCTCAAGCCTAACACGATAGAAAATGTCCTGTATCCACCTGTCGTGAGTTGGAGTGGGAGTATGCTTAAACTTGAGTAGAATAGATCGTCTGATTGCTTCTGTTATAAAAACAAATAAGTCGCTTTGGATAAAAGTGTCTAATAAATGACTAAATAAATAAATACTTTGTATTCTCTTGAAGTTTATGAAAGTAAATTGTAGTTCATCTTCATAAGAATGAGTTACATATTCTCAGGGTTAAATAGAGAATTTACAACCCACACAACAACGGCTGCTTAGACAGTATTTGCCAGGAAAGTCATCCTAAATGTTCTCTATTCCAAGGTACGTTTTATTTGAATCAATATTTAGAGTCAGCAAACAAATAAGAAAGTTTATATGAAGTGGAGGTGAATGTTTCTAACAGTAGCAACCTTCGGCCCATCCGTGCTCAGAGACGCCTCAGGCTGTGAAAAACATTGGAGGACACAGAGTTTCTTTCCCGCTGCGATTGTTTTATTTAGAATTTACTTATATAAGACTTAAAACAATAGCAAATCACCCAGAATTGTATGGTCTTTTATGGTAATTCTTGAGCAGCAAATCAGCATATTAGAATGATTTCTGAAGGATCATGTGATGTTGCAAACTGGAGTAAAAGTCTGAAAATGTAGCTTTACCATCACAGGAATAAATTACATTTTAAAATAGGTTAAAATAGATAACAAATAGATATGTAATCTATATTAAAAACAGATCTTTTTTAAATTCACAACATTTCTGTTTTTTACTGGATTTTTTATCAATTATCCCAAACGTCTGAGTGCTAGAGTATATATAAAGTATATATATATATGTGTGTGTGTGTGTGTCTGTGTGTAGAATATGTATATATATATATATACGGTTCTGGTCCATGTCAGGGCTCCATGGCAACACCGTATCTAGTAATATTTCCAATCAGAGCTCTGGGCACTCTGCACTATCTAATCTTCAGCCTAATGACATGCTGCCTTGTGGAAATATTTACGCTTTCCTCTTGGAAATGATAACCGCTTATTAACTCTATATCGGCTCATTAAATCCTGAACTAAGCATATAATGCATTATATGCGATGGAGGGCCGAAAGACGGCCTAATCAAAGATGGTGGATCATTGCAAGAGGGTGTCAGTAGCTGGATTTCCATCCAAATGTTTAGCATTTTTTTTAAATATATTTGGGAAAATTCTACAAAAGAGAATGCAAAACATTGCACATTATATAGAAGCATCATGTTCTTTTTTTTTTTCCTAAAAAAAAGAGCCGAAAGGTGCCCAAATGGTGAAAATACTGCATCTGTTTTGCAAAAAGAAAAATATTTCCATCAACTTAGCCTAGTGCATAAACCTTATGCAAATTGTGAGAGATTATACGAATATCCAGTGTTTATATTCAGGTTTTCTTTAGCACAAATTGAAAATGTGCATAAATGGCATGGAAACCCAGCAACTGTCCAAATGAACTGAACGACCATACAAAACATCCAGCTCTGGGATGCGATGTAACCTTTGCCTTTAAAAGAGAAATGTGGAAATTTTAAGAATGCAGAATTACAGTTATTCATCACTTGGAGGGTCTAATTCATCAGCCCTGAAGGCACGAGAAGATGAACTCTGTTTACCACTAAAGCTATTCTGGCTGTTTTGGAAGTGGCCATCAATCTCCAGCTATCTTTAAAAAGGAAAGCATCAGTTTCAATCACCCAAGAGACGCTAGTCAACTACTGAAAAGATTTCTCTTCTCCTCGTTCTTGTCTCTTCAAGGTGAAGTTTTCCCCAACTGAAGAGAAGACCCTGGGGAAGCGTGATATTAATGTTTTAAAATATTAAAAATCCTAACAAAAAATACACATGTGACTCCACCCTTTGCCCCTGCTGTTGTTCTCAATTAACAAGTTCAATTAACCTGTGCAACTGGGTGCCTCTAGATACATCGAGACCTCATTGGCCTACAAAGATGGCAGTCTAAATGAAAGCATCTTCCTAGGAGTGATTTTCATGGCACACATGATCCCCCTACGGTGCGGTGAAATAAATATGAACCGGATTTGTTCTTAGATTGATTTCTAAGCACATAATGTGTTCTTCTCCTTAGCCATTACCCCATTGACTCTGAGCAATAATATTACTCAGTTTATCAACACTTTTACTTTTGATACCAGCAATCGTATTAGCCAATTACCTCAGTGGGAGGCCAATATTTGCCCTGCACAGTTGAACAGTCTTACTGACCTGCAGGGTGACATTGTGTGTTTTCAACTCATCTAAAACAGATTCCAGAACAATTAGTAATACAGAACCAAACACTCAGGGAAAACTGATGGACCTGCAGGGCTGGTATCAGGCAGGACAACTGGAAATGCTGTCCTGGACCATGTGATGAGGGGAGTCCACTACGGTCCTCTTTAATATAGCCTATTCATTTCTATTACTCAGCCTCTTGTAACTACATGCTTTTTTTAGTCTAAATATAAAGTTCATTGTGACCACATTTCTTAAACTGTAAAGCTGACAAAACAGTCAAAAATAGCCATAAAATTAGTCCATATTGTTGTGATATACTTAAAATCTACTGAAGTCACAGATTAGCTTTGTGAAGGGACATTTAAGCATGAACCAATGAATCATTGCGAACCCAACAAGTCCAATTAGTTTTTGTTTTTGTGAACCATATACATTGATTCATTGAAAAGATTTGACTCAAATGATCCATTCACTTATGAACTTAATTTATGATGTATTATTTTTATTTTTTTAAGTGAAAAGTTCAAAACAATGTTCAGTTCATGAGCGAATCATTCTTTTGAATATGTCACTGAATTGACTAAACCAGTTTACAAAACTGATATGAACGATTTGATCACTGAAGTAGAATTGTCTGATCTTTTGAGTCAATTCTTTTCAATGAATTGGTTTATGCAGTTCACAAAACTAATATGAATGACTTGTTCACTGAAGTAGCGATGTGAACCGGATCAACCGATTTATTGAAAAGATTTGGCTCAAAAGAACTTCAGTGAACAAATCATTCAGAGTGTTTTTTATGGACTGAATCAACCAAAAAGATACGATTAAAAGTAACAATATGTTCATGAATATAACATCACTACTTTAGTGAACAAATCATTTTGATCCGGTTCACAAATTGTACTGAACCAGATCTCAGTAACTCTATGGTTAAACGTCTCCTTTAATAATCGAACAATATCTTATGACTTTAATGCAATAAATATAAGCAGTTAAATTAGTATAACTTGAACATATTGAGTTACGTTTATTCTAAACTGCCAAAACCAGCCTATTTTGAGCTATACACATCTCAGCTACAACACACCCAATGAGGGTCTCCTTTATTCCCATTCGATCAAATTAAATCAATTGAAATATTTTTTTATCACTAGTGGCATTTCAGTCACAACAAACCACCTTCTAATCTTTTAAGTGAACAAATCATTCTCATTCCAAGCACTTTAAAACTTACAGAAATCTCTCCCTTTGAATTGCAGGATTGCTTTGGTTGCTTTTATTTGACTTCAAATACTAACTACAGCATGAACAAATAGCATAGAAATGCAGACTGTGAAGAAGCATATCATTGGTTGGACCTACTGAACAGATATGCCCAATGTTTGATGTTGGACCTACTGAACTTAGTGTTTTGAATTTGAATGGACAGAGGCATACTAGTATATTATTCTACACAACACTAGCATACTACTTTTACTAGTTCTGCCATATGCTTTTCTGAATGCAGCCTAAAGGCCCCAATATACTTCTGGTGTGACATCATTTAGAACAAAATCAGGCCAAAATGAAGTTCGTTCTGAGTTTGTTTCGGGAGTCTGAAACAGCTTGATAAAGCAAACTTTGTCAAAAATTGTTTCTAATTGAAACACTGACACAGTTTTTTATGATTAATACGGCAAAGCTGCTTGTTTTAAAACAATCTATTGTATGAAGTGCTACATACATAAACTATTTAAAAAAAAAGAAAAAAAAAAAGACTTGACTAGAGTGCCAAATTGCAAAACTGGTGCAAAGGTGTGGTCACATTTACCATTACTCTATGAAATTTCGCAGTTGAATTACATTCAATAATTTCAATAGGAATCCATGTGATTGGGAGTTTTGTGTGAGGGTAAAAAAGTTCCCCATGCAAATTTTTCTCATGTTCAAGTTGGCCATGTGAATTTGCTGCTCTGACATATAGAAAGCTGTTTGGTTTGAAAGTGACTTCTGTGTGAGCGGTGCCTCATCACTACACTATTGACAATGGAAAATGGACCACTTTTTGTGACCGCACCTTAAGTGAAGAATGAAAATAAGAACTTTGCTGCGAGTATATTGAGGCCTTTAGTGGAGTAAATGAGACATCTTATTTGGAGAATGAACTAAACTAACTGGGACAGGTCATTTGCGAAGGAAATGAATAAACAAGCTATCTCATTTGTGAACAAGGATCTACTGGTTGACAGTAAGGGAACACAAACTAGCAGGTTTCATTTACGATGCACACCTAAGTCCAGAAAACCAGTTTTACGCCACGCCAACCTGACTCAGGCAAATAATGTATGGTAACTAATATACTATAAGTGTATATAAGTGTATTTGTCACCTTGAAACTTTGACTTTGATATGGAACATAATATCAAAACACTATGAAAAACAAACAGTACTATACAAAATCCAAGCCATCCTGTAATGACTCGCACAGAGTACTTACCCTAAGAAAGGACAGGTCACGACTGCGATCGATGCTGGTGATCTCGAGGTTCCCCATCACCACCTCGCAGTTCTCGTAGTATTTACGAAGGGTCCGATACTGCTGGTCCAGGTCTGACAGAGTACTCAGTTTATTCTCCGTGCCAGTACATACTGCAAAAAGAAAAAAAATGAAAGAGAGAAATTACATTCTGATGGTGCAAACAACAGATGCAGGAACTGCTTGGCGCTTCAGTCCATCCAGCAATGCAATTCAATCAGGCCTGAAGTCCCAGAAGCCTCTAAGACAGACAAGGAGCCTCCAGTCCCAGACGGACAACTTGACAAGTAATTAAACAGAGCCATTTCTGTTCATGAAACACCTTGCACCAATCAAAGACATTTGCCATCTGTTGCATCAGCTGGCATTGCCTTTGAGCCAAGAGTGTAACCCTCCCTCTCACGCCTCACTGAACCACTGTCACAACATCCACGAGCACATCCACGCCTATCCCATGCCACCCGCTCTGTGGCCAGCAGAAAGACAGACCGAGAGAGAAAGGAGAGTCAGCATATGCATTACAACACTAACTGACAATGCAGCTATGCATCTTCCTTTTATACCTGATATACAGCTACAGCTGTTTGAGTAATGTATGTTATGCTAGTTTCTTAACATGCAGCAACAGAGAACTTATTCATCATGTGCTCATTAACTCTCACAGAATGAGGGGGAGACCCGCTTTATGTAGAATAAATCTACTTTTTCTAGGCCACATCTGCAAGCCTTCATTTTAAAGGAATATTTGATCCACAAATCAAAATTCCGTCATCATTTACCCGCCATCAAACCCATATGACTTTCTTCATTCTGTGGAACGCAATTCATATATACAAATTTCAAAAGTACTATTTATTTCTTTGTTTCTTTAATTTAAACAAATGCATTTTAGGAAAGTAAATATGATCAATTCTGATTTTATATTGTCTTGTATAAAGACCTTAAAGCTCTAACATTTTCATTAGCAATGAAGACAAGCACATAACAACCGTTCAGTCTACCTCAGATTGTTGGTGGGAAAAAAAAACATAATTGTTCCCCTACTAAAAATACACATTTTGAGAAAAATATTAAGATGAGGAGAATCTGAAATAAGTTCAGGTCAGGTGTTACACTTGTGTGTTTTCAATATCCCTTAACATGCATTAGAGCAGGGGTGCCCAAACTTGGTCCTGGAGGGCCGGTGTCCTGCAGAGTTTAGCTCCAACCCCAATTAGACACACCTGAACCAGCTAATCAAGCTCTTATAGGCATACTAGAAACTTACCAGCAGGTGTGTTGAGGCAAGTTGGAGCTAAACTCTGCAGGACACCGGCCCTCCAGGACCGAGTTTGGGCACCCCTGCATTAGAGTGAAGGAGGTATTATGAAGGAAGCTTAGTTGTAATAAACATTTATTGCACCTTCGGGGGCTCCGTTGTGAGATTACAGGTAAATTGTGGGATATAATTTTGTTAGGGGGAGGTTTCATTCTATACCATATCTGACAGCTAACCCACTTTAAAAAAGGCCAACGACATCAAAATCACACGGGAGGCAAAATATACTCACGGATTAAGCCACAAAATATGTTTTTCCACCAACCTGCTTACAGTTCACTCAGCAATGGAAGTAAAATGATGTCAGAATTTTCATTTGTGATCATTTTTGAGCTTTAACTTCCTGATCTTTAGGAGTTATGTGGCACTGTGTGTTTCTGCTATGCTCTTTATACGCACACATTTTATGTAAATAAACCACAGGTAAACATCATGTAGCATCACGGCATACTTGATTGCACACTACTTTGCCATGGGCCACAGTACGATGTTAAAATGAAACATGTCTACTTAAAAACCCCCTCATTTGTCTTTTTCAATAAAAGAGAACATAGTCGTGCTGGAGATGCTGCCCCTCAGCAAACCTCCTCTCTGATGCACACAATGCAAACAACACAAAGCAATAGCATCTTTATTTCCAGTTTATGCCTCTGACTGCAGCTTGATTGAACTGTGTCTTGTATTTATTTATTTATTTATTTATTTTTTGGGATCATTAATGATGGATTGGGGCATGAATCTCAGTTCTGAATTTTATATTATAATCAATGAATGCAAAGATTATCACTCTGTTTCAAAAGTTAGTGAGCTCTACAAAGGCAGCAGATTTCTAAGGAAGCATACTAACTGAAAAATAATCTCATAAGTGATCCATTTTGAGTTTGCCATTAACATGTTACTAAGTTAATGAGATACTGCGATAAGCATAAAACTACATAACACAAAAATAATACATTTTCAATTAACTTGAATTACTTTTATTGACACTAGTAGGTATTTAGTGAACTGTAAGTGTATTTACAACATCTCTCTTCACCCATCATCTTGGATGGATTTTTTTCACGGAGCTCACTGCAGTGCATTGTAGATTAACTTCTCCACAAGGTTTGTGTCTATAATGCCTTAAAATGCTGCCTATGTAGGCAGATCACAAGGATTTGGAACAGAGCGTCTAGTAATGAACAAAAGTCTGAGTTCATATGAGCAACTTTTTGAGTATGTGGGAAAGGTATTATTCACTTTTATATTTTGAACCCCAAAGGTGGCATTATTTCTATCGCAAAGAACAAGCTTGAAAAAGTGGACCTCCACAGTAGGAGAATAAAACATGAACAGCACAAAGCCTTGAATATTTTTCATTTTCATGTATTTTTGCAGACATATGGTGTTTTCAGAACAGATTTAACAACCTCTGCAAAAAAAAAAAAAAAAATCTTTTTTTGAAATATACTTTTTTAAAAGACATGGTTGATGTTGCTTTGCAGCTTCTGTAGTTTTATAAACAAATAAACCAACAAAAAAAATCTAGATTGAAAATGGGTAGCTTTGAAACATTTTTATTTAGTTCTTTATGAATTATTTTTATTATTTTATTATTATTATTTTCCTACTCCAGCATGCTGAAGCATACCTGATTCAATCCCACCACATGTCTAATGCATTTAATCCAAGAAATAAAATGCTCTCTTTCCTTACTCAGTCACAGATACACACACACAACTGTTCATCATCCCCCCATAGTTCTAACTCCTGCCGGCCTTGCATTTGTCAGAGAGGTGTGTGTATATCCGACATGACCGGAATACATAAAGCATTTCCTTATCACTGTGAAAGATGCCTTTAGAGCTGTGTCTGAAAGGTGCAGCCAATGGGAATTTAAATTGCATGATAGTAAGTGCATGTTTACTTAAATCACATGATGGGAAATCTAAAAAAAAAATCATAATACATTTTAAAAAAAAATATTTATTCATTATTTACTCACAGAGAAAACTTCTCAAATGTGTGAGACTTAACCCCGATTAAACCCATAAAACATTTAAAAAAAAAACTGTTTTTGATATCTAGTTTGACAAGGGACCAAAATATTTGTCAGCACACAAACAAAATAGCATTTTTTATATAATTTGAGTTTCATATCACACCCACTAATAAACAACATGGCATAAACAAGACCTAAATTCTCATCAATTCTGACTTCACTCGTGTATATTTATAAATATTCTCATTGGAATTAAACACTTCTCTATTAGTCAATGCATTTCATAAGTATTGTGCAAAATGACTTCATCAATGAAGAACTGGGTTTATTGAACATCAATATAAGCGAGAAAAGAAGTCGGCGTCTCTAAGGCTTATTGGACCCACAGCAATGGCAGAAAAGGTCATGCCAATAGCCGGCAACTCATTGAACTAAATAAAGTTGCAAATGTCACTTCCTGAAGTAAACATCATCAATTCATCGGCTTAAGAGGACGTGAGCTGATTGGAGGATCAGAAGAGCCGATCACTGGAGGGGAATGGTGATTGTGTGATTCATGCAGTCAGGTTTGGTCGCCTGTTAAGAGGGCATCTGGTGAAGGACTAAATGGTAATAATGACAATCATGATTGCATCTCTGCGTGACAGGGCTATGGTCCGGTAACCGTGTCCTCTACTGTCCCAGTCACTAGTCTACGGGTCAGCCCTCTCCATATGGGACTGGCTGATATTAGTATCATAAACACTTTAGCAGGCCGACTCGGCCGACTGAGCACTGGAGCTTTGAACTCACCTGTGAGGTCAGGACACGGTGACATTAACAATTGTCTGAAGGCTTGTGCACCTATAAATAATAGGTTTATTGCTCTCTGAAGCACCCGAAGAGACCATTTATCAAGTAAATGTCTCATGAAATGATCATGAAAATAGTATCAGATTCACTAGAGGGCTCAGATTAAAGTTGAGTTAAACGTTTTAAACTGGTTTTGACAGGATGCCATTAGCTGTCAGCACAATTTTTGTTTTAAAAGCATATTGTGGCAATTCACCTAAAAATGTTCACTCAGAATAATTCATTCAAAAATGACAATTCTATCATTATTTACTCACTCACATGTTGTTCCCATATGATTATCTTTGTGTTTCTTGGTAGAAGAAAAAAAAACTAATTGGCTGCTCGTGCATACAATAAAAGTGAAATATAAACGAATAAATAAACAAATAAAAAAATTATAAAATAAAATAGTCTTTAAATGCTCATAATATATTTTCAAAGCCTTCCGATACACATAAAAAAAAAAAATTAGTCTGTCTCTTACTTAGAGCTATTTTATGATTGCAAATGACTTGGAATAGGTCACAATAGTCAAATGGATCACTTTTATGACTCTTTATGGTGATTTTTTTTTTGCTTTGCTTCAGAAAGGTAAAAAGACAGTCATACAGGATTAGCAACACAAGGGTAAGTAAACAACATAATTGTAAAATTTAAGTGAATTATTTAAAGATGACAATAAAAGTAAAAATACAATTGATACCCTATGGTATTTCTGTATCGATGACATCACAGTGTTCGTGAAAGGGAAGTGGGCTTATTTGGAGAGGGATATTTCATTCTACAGTATACAGTCTGTGCCTCAGACCCTTTGTTCCTGACCACTGGCCTCCTGCGTGTCTGGGAGAAGGACAGTACAGTCTGAAAGCAAACAAGCTCCTTTATCTCTCTTGTTTTCTTTTTTCTAGGTCTCAAAATGTGAAGGCAATGTACTAGAGTTCACCGTGTTCTCAGTCGAATGAGCTGTGCTGATCGTGGTC